ACCCCCCTCCCTTCTTCTCTCTTTTGTGCAAATAAATTAAACCTAATAGCTGCAATACCATTAAGGAATGCCTCGTGTCTGTGTGTAACCCTGCAAAACATGGATGTAGGAAGGGAAATAAAAGAAGAGGCAAACCGATCTGATGCTTACAGGTACCTGACTGGAGAGGCTGAAGTTGGTGGCCGGGCTGCGCTTCTTGCTGGCCGTGGTGCCGGCGCTGTTGGCGCTGCTGGCCGAGTTCTTCCGTTTCCTCCTCTTCGTGGTGGTCTGTCGGGCCGGCTCAGCTTTGGCGCGACCTGCAAAGAGAAACAGGCAAAAGCCAAGAAGATAATGCATACTGATGGAGACAAGGTGTGCAGGCTTGGGATAGGAATATATGTAACGGGATTGTGTCATCTGGATACAAAAGAAAGGTAACTGTATTCCCTTAGAGTTACATAAAAAAGATGTTATTTATTTATTTTTTTTAAATAGGGATTACTAGCAGGATAACAATTTTATAATAAAGAATGATATATTATAGATAGATGTTCTGTCTGAATGTTATGTTTGCCTTTCATTAAGGGTACTTTCCTTTTACAGTATATTGAACAAATGCAGTACAGTAGGTGGACACCTGATGATTTTGAATGAAAATACTGTCTGCTTTTAATTAATTTGTGACATTTGTAAACTATACTATTCTGTAAGCCTAGCATAAGATATACGATACATTTGTCGATACTTAATATCTTGGTTTCTTCTTTTCTAAGGTCACATTGTTCTGTGTACATAATGCACTTAATAAAAACTTCTTATTGATACTTATTCTCTCCTGCACTGAGTTGCATGGCAATTGAAATCGAGGTTATCTAAAAGTAACATAAAGTGATCAGGTGACATTACTTGTATATTGTGATTTTTTTTTACAGGTAACTAGTCATTTTAATGGATTACGTTTTTAAGGTCACCCTCCCAACCCTGTAGGTGTGTATGTGTGTGTGTTCAAGTCAGACAGTAGAAGAGACACGAAGCCATGCAGAAAGTCAGAATACATGCATTCACAAACACACAGGTTACAGATAGCCTATAACAATCCATGCTTTGATTTCTTCAGAGGTGAAACAGCACGAGCGTTGCATCTCCCAAGACATGCACTAGTAAGAAAGCCCACGCTTCATTTGCATAAATGCTTAACAATGGACCCTGATGCTCAACCTAATGTAAATCTCTTAATGATTTCAGCACTGCACAGATTGTGTTCCTCAACAGGCAGATTAAAGCTGCTCTGCTGAGGCAGAAACAACATTCCTGTTTGTCTTTCTGAACATGTTATTACACTGGTTCCATTTGTGTTGCATTACATATTATAGATTTGATTGGCTGAGCACGAGTGGTTTTTTGTTCTAATCTAAGTTTCAGTGAGGGTTTGAGAATCACGATCTTGCGTGCGTACATCTGGCACATGTGTGTGTTACATTAGAGGTGTGAGTGGTGTTTTCAAACATGCAGATGAACAACATGTTTTGGTTAGTGGCATTCCGGTAAGCATTTTCAAAAGCTGCTTACTACAGACAATGTAAGAGGGAAGATACCTTTTTTGGGATTTGTGGGAAATATTTCCGTTTTGAAGTTCTGTGGGTGTCCAGCTGAAACCGGAGCCAAAGTTTATTCAGGTGATTATATCATCTCTTAAACCACTTAGGACAGGGTGAGACCAGAGATGAAAACAAAAGACAATATAGAGAAATAATTGAACTTGCTGCTTAACACCACTGGGGAAACGTATGCTTTACATGAAAGATGTTATTCCAATTATGAGTTATACATAATTCCTAAAGGTGCAATTAAATCACAAGTGAGAACATTATTATCAAAAAGTACAGACACAGGTTAAATAGAGATCTTTGTGTTCGTAGTATTTACAAAATAGTCATCATTTATGAACACATAATTCTTCAAACATTTGTTAGAAAAATATATTTTCATCTCGAGGGAGACGAGAAAAAACACTGCTGTGATTTTCAAACATTAAAAACCGAGGTTCTCACTAATCACATCAAGGGACATGCTTTTATATTCAGTTACAACAACCGGTTACAAGCAAAACTAGAACTATAAATCCTAGGCGAAACAATGAGGGGGATTTTTATCGCTATCTTTTCTCTTTTGATTCCTGACTTTGACAGACGTGTTTGCAAAAAAAGTGGGCCTATTGTCAGACACAATCACTTCTGTTATCCACCGGTTTCCTCGAAGCGGTGACGCACTAAAATCACTTCCATTTCCACCAAAAGAACTTATCAGAGCATAAATGCGCCTGTGGCTTCCTTCCTGGAGAAATCCCAACCAGTTTCCAAGCAGAAGAAGAATCGCAGGAAAAGGGGAACAACACGCCACCAGTGTGGGGAAAACAGCAAATACAGCGAAACTGAAAAGTTCAGACTCGACTCCTTGAGAAAATGACAGGCGACATGAAATGATCCTGAAAAACACACTGAGGAAGTCTGACTAACGAAGGCAATAGACTTGCTATCTAATATTTTTAAATAAGTCTCAAGGAAGCAACTTATGGATCCAAAATAAAAGACTATATCAAAGCAAATAGCTCTGAATGAATCTGCATATTACATCAAGCTGGATTCAGTGATCACAATTGAGATGTACCAAATGTATTTTTTTCATTTTCAGAAGCTTCTTATGAGGTGTTTCAATCTTCCGATGCAAAACTGAAGACCCGCCTGTTTCACTTGTACCATGCTAACATTACATTAATGTACATGTTACTTGTTAGACGCTTTTATCCAAAGCAACTTACATACTCAATACTGTGGGCAATCCCCACAGGAGCAATTTGGGGCAAAGTGTCTTGCCCAGGGACACAACGACATGCTGACTGCAGTGGGGTTTGAACCTGTGCTCCCCTGATCCGAACACCAACGCACTAGTACACTGCGCCACACACCTCCATAACATCAGTGATACATTAAGAGTAATTGTTTTTCAAATGTTTTTATTCACAATGAACTGCTTCACATATCCAAGTCAACTTTTTACAAAGTCAATATGTTATTTAACAACCTTAAAGAACTCACCCCAATACAATCTAATGTTGTTGAGATACACTTGAGTAGTGATGAAAGGCTTTATATACTGTTGAGTGCTGCCATTATCAGCAATTTAACCTCTATATAAACTCCTTTCTATTTTCAGCTTTAGCCCACTCACATTCTTGGCAACACACAGAAACAGAGTCTCTGATATATCACATATCACATCGCTCCAGTCTGCTGTGACACCGACACACTGCTGCATCATCCAGAGAGGCTCACGAGCCGGACGGCCCAGAATATTCTCAGAGTGGGAGTGGGAGTCCTCACAGCATCAAAGTAATCAGAAGAATCCCCCCTTATGTCTGTCTTACCTGAACTATCTCATAAATGCAAAAAAAGCCCAAAAACCTCAAACACACATTTTAAAATGTTTGTTTTTCCTAACACAAATACATAGGGGTGTAAAGGCAGTTTCATAAAGATACAACATTATTTATTTGGACACTTTAATACAAGTTTTAATATTTTCAATTTCAACCTGCGAGACAATATAATGTCCCCATATAACACTTACAATTATATCAAATCACAACTCGAATATGATTTGTCAATTTTATTGGCTCTTCAGACATTTCAATGAAAGACAATCTATTCTTCTTATTAAAAAGCATAAAATCGAGCTCCTGTTGTTGGAGGTATGGTAAGAGCGGGAGAGCTTTTCACTCAAATTAGATCAGCAGGTCCACTTTAAAGGTCAGCCCACTTTAATTGAGCCGTATCTGAAGTTTTGGCTGAGGAGGCAACCCAGACGGGGGAACGTAGCTTTGGTCTTGTGGAGGTATTCACAAAACAGAACAACATACACACTGTACTGCTACGTTTTTTACTTTCCATCATTGATTTGTGATCATTGAATCAATACAGCAATTAGGAATAATTGATCGTTACAACCTTACAAATGAAAATCCTACAGTTATTATTCTCTCACTTATGTTTAATTATATTGTATCTTATTTAGCTTATGTCTTTATCCAAAGAGTCTTATACACACATCAATATTGCAGACATATCAGAGCATGCCGTAGCAATTGTTGCAGAAGGACATGACAACAGGTTGACTGCAGGGTCAAGAGGTCAAACCACTGACCCTCTGATTGGTAGATGCCCATTTACCCCCTATACTACAACCGCCCCTTGTCTTTATGTTGTGCAACATTACAGTATTGTGTTATTTCATGTTGTACATAGGTAGCATCTAAAATATTCATACATACAAGAGTTCCTAAGTTCATATAATACCTTACAGCAGCTGTTTGTGGCTTCCTCTTGGTTTCTGTCCCTCTGACCTTTTCTCTCTGCAGAGATGTCAGAAATGTGGCAAAGACACAACAATGAGCAGTGGTGAGGATTTGAAAAGACTTGCAAATATCTGTGAATATCATACTTTGTCCTGGCATTAATATCGAAATAGTTGAAACTGAAATTAGTCAAAGTCAACTTTATTGTCAATCTTTCAGTTTGTGTGTAAAGACAGAGTGATCGAAATAGCATTCCCCACAATCCCGAATACAAAAGTACAAATATATATATACAAATATGTGTATCCTATATATACGCAATCAACAGACACATTTATACATATGCACACATTAAGATAAAAGCACAACAATCAATATATACAAAATAACAGTCACTTCAATATCTTTGGGAATGTACATTAGTACAAGATTGTCCATCGCAGCGCTGCTTAGTGTCAGTTTATTCTGTGTATGTTTTGAAGGAACGATAGATGGTGTGTAGTTGGTCCATCTTGCCTCAGCAAGCGGCCCCCCTGAGGAATCTCACCTTGCCTATCACAAACTTCTAAACCCGGCTGGCATCTGCGGTGTCGCATGGATTTTGTTTCCATGGCGTTCGATTGCCCCATGTGAATTTGTTTCCATGGTTTTTGATTTCCCAGCGAGAGTCTTCCGCCATTGATCTCCACTACTGTACTGTAACTTGTCTCCACTGTGTTTTGTAGTATCACATGGATTCCTAATAACTCGGGCATCAATAGTGGCTGCAATTGAGGAGGATACGTTACAGGGATTTAGAAGGTGGGCTAAAATAACATTGGATATACTGTATAGGTTTTATCACAAACATTTTGTTTCAATGAGACAATACCATAATGAAAATAGCTAAATAAAATGACAAGTGCACAAGAAGCTATCATCATTGTTTGTATATGATAACATTAGATCAAACAAAAACGTGTTGTGCGAAGGTAGACCAGATTTAAAAATACACATCCCAATTCTTGTTTAACAGGACGCTATTTACCTGTTTCGGTTCATTCACCCCTCACAGCCTCATTGCCTCCAGAGGATGCAACAGACAGCTGTTTGAATTCTTTAAGAGTCAATTGGGGAATGCTGCATTTATTGTCAGGTGTAAATAAGCAACTGTTTAACAAGTTGGCCGTATCAACCCAAAAGGGGATAATTTGGTAATAATATTTTGTTTCCACTGCCTCAGAAATCCCTCAAAATCAGTTAATTCAGGTTCAAACTAAAATAAAGTGAATAATGTTGCATATTCGATTTTACCCACCTTATTTTTCCTGTTATTTCATCATATAACTAGTCCTGTAACAATCGGCTGAAGTTGATCTATTGGAAAGAGCTTTTCCAATAAATTATGTTATATTCCAGTTTCTGTATAGGAATTTACATATAAATGTTTCTGTGAATGTAAATCTTGTCCTGGACTGGCATTTGTGCATCTAGATTATTCTGAACAACAGCAACATTTCTATTCCAAAACATCTAAATGTCACGACAGTAAAGAAGCATCCTTTGATGTTAAATATTTAAAGAAAACACAAAAGGGCTTCCAGGTAGATTTGTAATTCAAATTGGACAATCAGTATGTATTTTATCCCCCGTGTCCTTTGGTGAGGCTGTAAGGCAAACAACTCCAGGTTTAGCATTTTTATAACTCAACATCAAGTAGCGACGGGTGTATCTTTTTAGGCATCTTTGTGGTCTTGTTGTGTTTTTGCTCTCCTTACATTATACAAGCCTGAAAGTAACCTCAGCCCAACCCAATTACTCTGAAGCTCTTTTTGCCGCTGAATATGCTGCAAACGCCCGCCTTCTGTCCCAGGTTAGTTCACTCATGTTTTATTAATGCCTTGTTGTTATTTGTTTTTTTCCTTGCTGGTTCCCCCTGCGTCTGTGGCAAACACGACACACTCCCTATGCAACAAACCTCATGGAAGACAACTGCTCGCGCACATACAGTAGAGGAGGACAGATCAGGGCACATTGTTTTAGTGTAGCTGCTAATATTCATGTTGTTAGTTACAGTAATACATTGCACAGTTGAGGATTTCTTTAGGTGTGCCACTTCTTAAGTTGCACCCGTCCTGGTTGAGTTAGAAGTGATGACATTTACAAAAAATGTTCACAACATGTATCACTATGTGACATGTGTGGATAAAGTAGAGATTACTGTATAAATCATCTTAATTTAACGCTAATAGAAGGTGTTTCAGGAAGTTTCATCATGGCATTTTGATAAAATGCAGATCTATAAATAAAGGAGACCTG